CCAAAACACAGGTCAAACATCCATGGTTCTAATGACAAAACCAAAACACAGGTCAAACATCCATGGTTCTAATGACAAAACCAAAACACAGGTCAAACATCCATGGTTCTAATGACAAAACCAAAACACAGGTCAAACATCCATGGTTCTAATGACAAAACCAAAACACAGGTCAAACATCCATGGTTCTATCTTTGACAATCACTTAAAACTTGATGACATTGACAATGACTGGTTCCCCAAGCAAATGTTTAGTACAAGTCATGTGTCATATTCAAACCTAATATTACGAATTTGAAAACAAAATATTGTGATACATTTTTTCGCTCAATCTACCTTAATTTATGTTTGCAAGGTAATATCGCCCTCTATTGACATGGTTAAAACAGTTATTGCATCACTCTTTGAAAAGTTAGGCATGTTTTTTTTTACTTCTGTCTGAAGCTTTTGAATTTTATTACAGTTAGGCAGATTATTCGTAGTTCAGTTACCCATAGGGTTAACATTTTATTTACTATTGTGTGTGAAGTTAGGCAAGTCATAGTCTTGCTATATTGGTTCAGTACCTTTAATTGTACAGTACAGCGTTCTAGTAAATATGGCTTTATAATTTGAAAAGGTTTGAGGCCTTGTTTTGGGGTTGAAATTTTATTATACCAGGGACTTGTTCAAACTGGGATATTCTATGCTAATTGTATGAAAAGATAGAGAACATTTTTCAATTGCTTGTGTTTTTAGTCCCCGTTCGGACGCAGTCCGAAAACGGGGACTTATGTTTTGCCCTGTGTGCGTCCGTGCGTCCGTGCGTCCGTGCGTCCGTGATCACCTGTATCTCGAACATGCATGGACCGATTAAGTTCAAACTTCACTCATACATCACACATTATATGGGACATATGCACATGCATTTTTGTCATGATCCGATTAACGATAGCCGAATAGCGGCCATTTTAAGGCCGAAAATGCATCAAAATCGCACATTTTCACCATTCCGGACCCGGATCTCAGTTATGCATGGACGGATTTTGTTCAAATTTGGTACATACATTAAACATAATAGGACCTTGATGCACGTCATTTTTTTTTTCGGATCAAGTTCGAAATAGCCGACTGGCGGCCATTTTGTTTTAAAGAATTCAGTTCTGGATCCGTATCCGAGACATGTCTGGATTGATCAAGTTCAAACTTCACACACACAAGGTACATTATGTCACAAATATGTATGTGCATTTGTTTCATGATCTCATTAACGATAGCCGAATAGCGGCCATTTTAAGGCCGAAAATGCATCAAAATCGCACATTTTCACCATTCCGGACCCGGATCTCAGTTATGCATGGACGGATTTTGTTCAAATTTGGTACATACATTAAACATAATAGGACCTTGATGCACGTCATTTTTTTTTTTGGATCGGGTTCGAAATGGCCGACTGGCGGCCATTTTGTTT